TAAAACAGTAAACATTCATGTCTCATGCATAGAAAATGTCACTAAAATTTCGAGACGCATTGTCTGAAACGCTATTTACAGATTTAAATATCTACATATTTATAATGCAAGCAGAACTGTCAAGTGTTTCTGTTCTCTTGCATATATTTGGATTATTTGCACGCTTTAATAGTGGACACAGTGGAACTTCCAATTAGTTTTAAAATTCATTTATAAAAGTTGTATCAATCAATAAAATTGTTGATACAAATGTGAAGCAATAATTACCTGTTTCTGTAAACGTATTGTGGATAGTTTCTTAATCACTTCGGCCGTTTCTGCCCTGTGTAAATTGTTGAATATCTTCTTGCATTCACCCAAAATTTCTTCGTTTAATACAGTCCCACGATGCATGATGTTTTAGCCCACTACCTTCCATGAAAAAATTCACAGTTTCGACCGGTGTGCCGCAGCCTTCGTAACATTTCGAGCAAATAACTTTCGAATGCCGGTGGGCGTTTTGAAAAGGTCTATTTGCAATGCAAAATAGTTGCTCATCAGTTGCCATTTTTATTCAATTTTTATAGTGTGTCCCAGTCCATCACGGAATTTGGGCGCCAATATTAAAACAATTAACTGGCAGAGGCAATTCTTTCTTCCGTCTTCCCGTTGCCCCCCGCGCGCGTTTCTCTCCCCAATTGAAACTTCATGTAAGATTCATATGTAAGCCTATTCCATTCATGTAGCCTATATTAGCCTATTCCAATCGCTTCTGTGGAGGAGAGAGGGGGAGGGGAGACCCGTCGGAGAATTGTCAATAGAGAATTTGAGCAAGACAACGAAGTACGAAATCGAAGGCGTACTTGCCAATTTTTGTCGTCTGCACATTATCTTGCGCATACAGAGTTGGACATCAATGCAGGTTGCTCAACGTGTCTTTCCATGTGTCGCTTTCAGGGATGCCGGAAGTTGCTGAGGGCAAGGGGTGCAATTGGTTAAAAAGAGGGCATACTCCTTAAAAAAAGGGCACCAATGAAAATGAAAGGGCGTCATGATCCTACATTCGTGTCACCCTCCCTCCCCGTCACCAAATTTTTCGGACCGAATACAATTATTTAAGCATAATTCCTCCGTAATTTCTCGCCAAAAATTCCATAAGTAATGCTTTCCGTTTCACCTTTCGCCAAATAGATAACAATTTTGCCGAATTCCTGACGACTGGGGGGTGAAACACCCCCACACACATCCTCGAACGACGTTTAATTCTGTCTGTTGTAAAAGTTTTGTGCACCCGTTACACCCATAGTCTGCACCCGCACTGCACCCACAAAGTTGAAAATGCAAAAGGCAAGGGGTGCACTTGCACCCGCTGCACCCATGGTTCCGGCATCCCTGGTCGATTTTTATGCATACTGATCCTAATTCTTGCCCTGACCCAGAAAAAAACAGCGAGACATGAAACTATATCCCGTCTTTGTCCTTCTGCCTTCGTTCGGAACGAAGTTCACAGCGAATTTTGCCAAAATGTATGCGAATTTTTCGTTGTAAACGAAGTCAAAAGAACGAAGACGAGATATGGATTCATGTCTCGCTGTTTTGTCCTGATAAGGGTAAGGATTTGGGTCAGCATTCATAAACAGCTAGACATAAATCTCTAATCTGTCTTCACGCCTGACCCTAAACTCAGAATGCGTAAGATAATGTGCAAGACAGGCAAAAATTGTCAACCACGGTCCACATCGTCGTCGTCCGACTTCGTTCTCTAGCTCAAACTCTCTAATGTTGTCGGAATCTTCGTGGTGAAGCGTGGGAAAAAGTGATACGGAAATCGGGAAAAATACTACGAAAGCAATTGTAATGTAATTGTCCAGAAAAAATTTTTACCGAAAAAGTTGTCGACTGGGGGGGGGGGAGGAGGGAGATTTAAAATGTTGGGTGGTCCGCAAAATTTAGTGCTGCTCCTAAGCCACTCCTACTTGCCTCTGTTGAAAACTTTATGTGCTTGTTTGGATCGTAGAACTTTAACACAGGTTCGCTTGAAACCAGTTCCTTCAATTCTTACCATGCTTTCTCTTGCTCATTGTTCCACATCCATGACACATTCTGGTCTAACAACTTTATTAATGGCATTGTTCTAGTGGATAAATCTGGTATGTATCTAGCAAGATAATTAATTATACCTAGGAATCTCTGGCGGTCTGTTTCGTTTCCAGGTCTTTCCATGTTCTGAATTACCTCAACTTTTCTCTTATCAGGTTTCAATCCCTCTGCCGAAATTGTGTCCCCCAGGTAAGTCAACTGTTGTACGCCCACTTCGTATTTTGCTTTTTGAAGTTTCAGTCCAACTTCTTTCACAACTTTCATTGTTGCTTCCAACCTTTGATCATGATCTTGTGGGGTTGATCCATAAATGATGTTATCATCCATAGAAGTATCTACGCCTTCTAAATGACTAAACGAAGAGTTAATCGTTCTATGATAAATCTCTGGAGCACTGGAGATTCCAAATGGGAGCCTTAAGTATTTGTATCTCCCAAAAGAGGTACATAGTGAGTACATAGATTAGTACTTTCGTCTTCAAGCTTCATTTGCCAAAACCATTTGAGGCATCTAGTTTAGTAAATACTTTGGCATTTGCAAATTGAGCTGTAACTTCGTCTCGTGTAGGTAATTTGACATGTTCACGTTTTATTGAATTGTTCACGTTTCTAGGGTCTAAGCAAACACGCAAGTTT